TCGGGGCCGGGGGGGGGCGGCGGGACCCAGCCTCGCGCTGCGGCCTACCGGGCGTGCAGGAGGCGCGGCCCAGCTCCAGGCCTCGCGTCGGTTGTACTGCCCCGGGGAGCCGCAGAGAAGTGCGGAGGCCGCGGACAAAATGGGCGCCGGGTCCGCCTCCGCCCGCGCTCCTGGCCGCGCGGGCCGGGCCGCTGCACGTCGCTCAGGCGCCACCTCGGAGCCCTAGATTTCCGGCCGGGCGCTGCCGGGGTGGTGCTCGGGGGGCTTCCGGCTCCAGGGCAAGGCTTTGGAAGGGTCTCAGCCGCGTAGCGGTGAAGTCGTTGCTAGCCCTTGGAAATTTTCCTTCCCGGGCCTTTCCAGGTCGCAAGATGGGGCGCAAGGCGGCAGTGACTTTGGAGTCAGATTCTTGACATGGAAACCAGCCCTCTTGTACACCCGCTGCTGCCCTGCTGCTCAGAGGAGAAAGTGAGGGTGGGGAGAGCTCAGAGCTTTGGCTGTGGTTACAATGTGTGTGCAAGATTAGCTCGGAGCCTGAAGTCCGTCTCTCCAGTGCCAGCCCGAGGGCTACTGCTGTTTCGCTGAGCCAATTTAGCCTCCTCCCCTTAAGATCTGTTCCTTCGGGTTCTTTGGACAATCTGCAGTTTTTTAAGAGTTACTTCTTTCTTATCTGTAGGATGATAAAGAATTGTATTATAAAACAGGGCTACCGTGCCTTAATGTTGAGACTCTTTTCTCCCTACCTATGTAATCATAAACTAGCATCCCCTTCAACCTGTTTCTAGATTGACCAGTTTAAGAATATTAAACAAGGGACCAGCAGATGGCGGAATTGGTTACGTTGATGGACTCCCGTGTAGTTGTCTGAGGTTCAAGTCCCGAACCCAGCAGCTTGAAACTCAAGCTGGGCGCCTGTGCTTGGGTGCCCGAGAGGAAACTGGAGGAGAATGGATCACAGTGTGACCATCCCCCCTGGGGGGGGGCGATTTCTCACTTCCTGTCTCTCCAGCTAGTGCATGCATAGCAAAAATCTCTCTTTAAAAAAAAGGCATTAAACAAATACATGTGCAGTTCTATTCATGGTGTCTTGCTCTGAGTTGGAGGTAAATGGACAGTGATGACATTATTTCCCTTAAGTTGGCACATATTTCTGTTAACAGAAATTTATTGTATACCAATTACAGGCCAACCACTGTCCTGGTGTAAAAAACGATATTACTGAGTGAGACCCAGTTTATTGAGTTTAATTTCTGTATTTCTGGGATGTTTAACAATCAGACATTATTTTTCCAAAATCCAGTAGCTATGTAGATGTTCTTTAGAAAGTAAAGATTTCTCGATCATGCAAATACTTGGGTCTTTCCTGTGATTAGATTTTAAGGTAAAAATCTAAAAGTTAGGAGACCTAAAACAGGCCACCATTTTCATTTGGCGGAAAAGGTACAAACACTTCTGTTTTTGTTTTGCTTTGTTTTAATCCGAGAGAGGGAAAATGAAAAAATCACCCAATGTAGGGATGGGGGAAATGACCACACTGCTGTCCTCCTCCTCCTGGGGTTTTAGGCATGTGAACATATGCCCAGCATGATTTTCAACCCACTGGTCTGGGACTGGAACCACAGTCGTCCTGTGGGAGTCCAGGGCCTTCACCACCACACCCCCTGCTTTGGTTTCGATTGCTCTATCTGTATAATGACATGGTTTTACTCAGTGACTCTAAGGCTTGTCTCTAGCTCCAAACATCCATATTACTCTACATTTAGGATTCATACATCAAATGTTGTTGAAAGTAGGGGTACAGCTAGCAAATGTTAGCTTGATTACCCTAACTTTCTAGTCTGGGTTAGGATCAGCAGTCAGTTATTAATACATTCAAATTTAGGTCCTTCAGGTATATATAATAGATTTGAATTTAGGCTCTTTAGGTTAGTTTTTTCTTTCTTTTTTTTTTTCTTAAAGATTTATTTATTTACTTCACATGAGTTTTGACAGAGAAAGAGGGAGAGTTAGAAAGCAATCCACCAGGTCCAGGACACAAATCACGGGAACCCCTTGTGGGAATTCCAGTGCCTTAACCACCACACCACCTGCTGGCCCCTGGCTTAGCTCTTTCTTTAAAAATAAGAATAAAAGATTTCGTAGTATCTAAACACTAGATTAAGAACAGCCTCCCCTCTATCCCCACAAAGATCTTGCAGGTAAATTATTTGCTGCTGCATAGTAGCTGTAAGATAGGTCCTCGGCCTTGTAAATTCCCTTTCTTTGCATCTCGCTTTCATGTTGCTGTTGTTGCATAAGTGATTTTGATAAAATATGCCTCATCTTTTTAGAGAAACATTACAACTAGGAAAGATCATAGAGGTCATATATATTAGTCCCTTAAAAATATGAGCAAATGCTGAGATGTAACGAATTGACTTACCCAAGGTCCAGCAAAATTTCATTTATGTAGAATGAGCGATAAACAATTATGAATGATCTTGCCAGCAGGTGCACTGGAGGCTAAGGCTGTTGGATTCCACGTGGTCGACCTCGTGGTTTCAGTCCCTGAGCCAGTGGCTTGAAGATCACTCCAGGAGGGCGTGTGTGTACCCTAAATCCTGAGAGGATCCTGAAGGAGAAGGGACTGCAATGTGACTGTCCCCCTACCTCCCAGGGAGTGATTTCTTCTCATTTCCTCTCTCTGTCTCTCAAGTGCACTCACCCTATGGCAAAACTAAAAAAATATATATTAAAATTATTTATTTTTTTTTTGGGGGGGGGGAGAGTTTTTTTCTCTATAGGGCGCGTGCGCTCGCCAGAGAGAGAGAAACATAGAGACAGAAAGCGAGAAATCACCCCCCAGGGGGGATGGTCACACCGCGATCCCTTCTCCATTCTCCTCTCAGGATCTTGGGCACGCACGCACACGCGCCCGGCGTGAGTTTTAAGCCACTGGGTCTGGGACACGAACCGCGGTCGACTACGTGGGAGTCCAGTGACATAGCCATTACGCCAACTGCTAGTCCCTATATATATACATTTTTAATTAAACTTTAATTGTTTCATTTTAATTTGACCAGGGAAGGACAGAGCAAGGGGGAGAGAGGGGAAGCGGGAAAGCAAGCTTCCAGGTCTGATAACTTGAACAACGGTCACCCATGTGGGAATCCAGCACCTTCAACTACCACACCACCTGCCAAGAATTATTTTATTTAACTTTATTTATTTGTTTATTATATTTATTTTAATAGGAACAGAGAGAGAGAAAGGGAGAGGTGAAGAGAGAAAGCAAGCTGCCAGGTCCAGGACTCGAATCGTGGTCGGCCATGTGGGAGTCCAGCTCCCTTAAGTACCACATCACCTGCCAGCCCCAAGATTCAATATATTAAAAAAAAAAAAAAAAAAGGAAAGAAAAAAAAAAAAACCGGCCACTAAGCGCTGCCTCTCCAGCCCCGAGCAGGGTCAGAGCCCCAGGCTCAGGCAGCGCATGAATCCTGCTGATAACAATGGTACGTATTCAATACGTGTTTATCAAGGCCTCAGAAAGATTCTTAATAGTTTTTTGTTAAAGAAGGACATTTGGAGCAGCAGAGTAGCACCGCACTGTACCTTACGTCTGGGTGACATGCTCACATGCATAACTCGTGCTTTCTTTAACACACCCTTTGATCCCATTATGCCTTCGCCAGAGTTAATATTCAGAGTTTGTAAGGTCATTGGTTAGGTGAATTGAGTTACAGAGACTTGTCATGGCCGCCTGTTAAAAGAATGTGGATATGATTTAATTTGAGCTGTACCTTCAATAACACTATAGTGTCCTCACTTTATGGGGGATACATTCCATGATCCCCAGTGATGCCTAAAACCGCTGATACAGCGGACCTCACAAGTACCGTTGGTCAGATAACCAAGGTGAGTTAGCGACTGAAAGGCAGCCTGGCCTGGTGTGCTGTATGGAGGGGAGGCCCACACCCTGGGCAGGACCGCGCTGGGATAGCCTGAGATTTCCTTATGCTGTTCAGGACAGCACACGTTTTAAACTTAGGAATTCCCCATTTAATATTTTCCTTCTGCTGTTGACCCACAGGGAATTGAAACCGCAGAGGTAATACTGCAGATAGAGGGGACTAATGTAAATATAGAGATATAAACAGTTACTAAATGTATTTTTCAGTACTTTGATAGAATTACTTGTTGTTTAGTTATTCTGTCAGCTGCAAATAGCTACCAAGAGGCAGTTTACCTTTTTTCTGTTTGAGGAAGATATGGTTTCAAATAAGAGCAGTAAACCTATGGGGGAGGCCAGCAGGTGGCATGATAGTTAAGGTGCTGGACTCCCACATGGCTCCAGTGGTTCAAGTCCCAGACCTGGCAGCTTGCTTTCTCGCTTTCCCCCTCTCTCTGATGAGTGCACATATGCTATAGCAAATTGAAAATAATAGTAAAGAAAATTAAATAAATAATTTTTTAAAAAAATATTAAAATTAAAAAGAAAACTTTAAACTGATACATTTTTCTCTGTAGCTTTATACATGTAATGACAGGCTATTTAAGAAGCTGTTTATTTTAGTAGTATAGAATTTATTTTTTCATTTGTTATCATTATTTTTTAATTTTACCAGAGTGAGAGACAGGGAAAGTGAGAAAGCAAGCCACCAAGTCCAGGACTAAAACTGTGGTCGGACATGTGGGAATCCAGCAACTTTAACCACCATGCCACCAGCCAGCCCGTTTATTCATTTTCTTAAGAATTATTTTATTTAACTTTCTCTCTTTTAACTAGAGAAGGACAGAGAGAGGGGGGGAAAGTGAGAAGGGAAACCACCAGTTCCAGGACTTGAACTGTGGTCAGCCATGTGAGAGTCCAGCACCCTTACCCACTACTCCACCTGCTGGCCGCAATGTTTATTTATTCTTTCAGTATGTATTAATTCAGTAAGAAATTCCCTTTTTTGTTAAAATATTTGTTGTTGAATGATTTTACCTGTTTCCACATACAAAGCAGAAGTAGGCTACTTAAAAATATGATTAATGTGGCTTTTTTTATTTATTTTTCATTTGACTAGAGTGAGTGAGAGAGAGACAGAAAGTGAGACAGCAAGCCACCAGGTCTGGGACTCGAACCATGATCAGACATGTTGGGAGTCCAATGCCTTAACCACCATGCCACCTTCCTATGTGGCTTATTTTCATTTCATTCTGTCCATGTATTTTTTTTTAAATTCCATTTCCTTGATATTTACCACATTTTTCCTCTTAGTCCGTTTGGGCTGTTAAACAAAATATCTTAAGTGGGTGGCTTATAAACAGCAAACATTTATTTTTCATAGTTCTGGACACTGGGAAGTTCAGGAATAAGCACTAACAGATTCTGTCTGGCGCAGACCCTGCTTCCTCATAGATGGCACTTTTTCACCATGTCCCTCCCATAGTAGAATGGTTGACTGGTTTTCTGGAATCTTTATTAATGGTACAAATCACAAACATGAGGGCTCCGTCCTCTTGACCCCATCACCTCTCAAAGGCCAACCTTCTGATAGCATCCCCTATGGGGAAATAAGAACGCCTCAGGAATTTTGGAGACACACACATTCAGACAGAAACATTTGATGTTTTTTTCCTTTTTTTTTTTATTTTTTTTTTAATTTTTTTAAAGTTTGCTATAGGACTTGTGCATCCCAGTCTCTGCCCCAGGAGAGATTGGGGGTGTGGCAAATCACTTCCCCAGGGTGAGCAGCCATGCTACAGTCCCTTCTCATCCATTCCCTAGGGATTTTGTACACCTGGTGTGATTTTCAAGTCACTAGGTCAGGGACTTGACCCATGCAGTGGACTATATGGAACCATGTGGAATCCAGCCGCCTTAGCCTCCATGCCACTTGCTAGGGCTATTTTTTTTCCTTCTAAAAATTCATTCATTCTTCCTAATAGAGTACAAAACTAAATGAAGTTGCTTATCCTGATTCAGAATATTCTAGAAGAAACCATTTACCAGTGAATGATTTAGCATACCACAGCAATGTGGATCAGGGACCCTTGGGCGTTCCCAAGACTCTTCAATGGTCTGAGAGGTTAAAACTATTTTCATAAAACACTAAGACATTACTCAACCTTTTCACAAAGGTATGGATGTTTGCCCGGCTGATTCAAAATAGGATGCGTAGAACTGCTAGGGCCTTAGCGTGCATCAGGGCAACAGCGCCAGACCAAGCTAGTGGCTGTTGCATGTTTTACCTCGAGACCCTTGAAAGGGTTGGAGACCGTTTCATTGAACATCCCTCGGCATGTTGTGTCTCTCTAGTGGCTGTTTTGTTTCTGTTTTTAAGAGATTGTTCCCATAGGGCATGTGCCATCTCTAGAGAGAGAGAGAGAGACAAAAAGCAAGATATCAATCCCCAAGGGGGATGACCACACCATAATCCCCTCTCCTCCATTCTCCTCTGAAGATCTTGGGCATGCCAGGCACACGTGCCCAGTGTGGGTTTTAAGTCAGGTCTGAACTGCATTCAACTACATGGGAGTCCAGCAGCACATCCATTACACCATCTGCTCGTCCCCTCTTAGGGATTTTTCAGTTCCTGGGTCTCATCTTGTTTTTCCCCAAAGACCATAGAACTGTACCTTGGACTGTGAATGACAGGGCTTCCTTCCATGATTACCTTTGTTGTTGGCTAACATTCTCTGGTTTTCAGTACTATTAGCCTTGATTTTGTTTTAGAATCAATGTAAAAACAACCTGTTAATGTTTTCCTGCATCCAGAACACTGCATATGAAAAAATACTTTTATTTTCAACTGCTCCTTGTTGAGTTTTCAGAAGTAGGTCTGTCAAGTATATAGAAAATGTCTTTCACAACTTCAACATTTGTATTGTTTCTTGCCCCAAATCCTGCTTCTTGTACCTGTCCTAGGAATTTATGGCTCTTGGCATCATGGCCGAGGTTGACCTGGCTGCTCTGCATTATCTGGTGAGCAGTTGCTTCACCTTTCCCATCTCCCTGCCACCAGCACCGCCTCACCCCACTATAGTGCTGCTGTAGTGTGTAGTGGCCCCAGCAGATGCTGTGGTCTTTCTCACAAGAACTCTCTGCACAGGGTGCTTTGTGTTGTGTTGTGTTGTATTTTAAGCAGTCTCTTGGTTCACTGAGCCTAGCTTTTTAAAAAGAAAAAAAAAAATCACTTCAAGTAGCTTTTGCCACTCTTTTTACTCAAGAGGTCTTTAAAGGCCAAATAAGTAGTCCTGGCATATCATACCAGAATTTTACACTTATACATATTATAAACGGTAAGGAGAAATAATGCTTGAAAGCTCTTGGGCAGTTGGACTCCCCCAAATTTGGTTGTATTAGTATCTATAGTATTACCATAAGCTAACAATGTCTGATTCCAGTAAATTACTGAGATGACTTGACGTATTGTACTAATTGACAGACATCATCAAAACATGCAGTAGTTTGTTTTTTGGCAGAGAGCACATGTGCTCACCAGACAGAGAGACAGAGAAGGGGAGTAAACACAACTCCACCCCGCCCCTGTTGGGCACATTCACACTGCAATCCATTCTCCTCTGTATCTCCATCTTGTCTGGGCTTTGGGAATGCACATATACTCCCGGTGTGTTTTCAAGCCACTCGGGCTAGGATTTGGATTGCCTAGTCAGCCATTTAGGTGTTGGTTCCTCAATCACCAGGCCCCAGGGCCGGCCTCATGTAGTAGTTTTCAATACTGTGTAAAGGTCTTTAGGGATACCATGTTAAATACTTCTTAGATAAAGTCAACGCATACAATCGTTTCAGGTTATCTGACACTCTCCAAGCAACCTTGGCCTTGTCACATCTTTAAAATGCATGGCATCTGCCTGTAAGAGCTGTTAAATGAGCACTGGCCCAGGTAGTTTACCACAACACTTAGTTGAGGTGTTTTAACCTGGCTCTACTAAGGTATAAGTGACATTTAACAGTTTTATTAGATTTATACCTAGAAACTGTCCTTGCTAGAGTTTTGAAAATAGCACTTAAGTTTTTTTTATTCATGGTGAACATGGGTGCGCACCCATAGAAGGGGGGGGGAGCACCTCCGTCGGGTGGCCACACCATGATCCCCTTACCCCAGTCCTCCAGCCTGGAAGATTGTGAGCATTTGGTGCATGTGCCCAGCAAGCTGGCAGGGCCCGGAATTCAAACCACAGTTCACTTTGGAGCAGTCATTCCAGCTGCTCCAGAGCTGGCCCTGGGTTTTTGGTGTTATAGTGAACTTAACATATTCTGCTGTGAAATTTGGCAGTTCTTTCGTTCAAATTCTTTGCCATTCAAGAAAGTATGTAGTGCAAGAGGAGTGACTTTTTTAGAAATAACTTTGAATTGTAACCTTTTTTTTTTTGGAGAGATTTTCACTGTAGGGCGCGTGCGCTCGCCAGACAGACAGAGAGAGACATAGAGACAGAATGCGAGAAATCACCCCCCGGGGGGGATGGTCACGCCGCAATCCCTTCTCCTCCATTCTCCTCTCGGGATCTTGGGCACGCACGCACACGCGCCCGGCATGAGTTTTAAGCCACCGGGTCCGGGACACGAACCGCGGTCGACTACATGGGAGTCCAGCGACATAGCCATTACGCTAACTGCTGGTTCCCCTTGAATTGTAACTTTTGAAAAATAATGAAGCATCCAACCTCAAACATGGTTATTAGTAGCAAGTTACTATGGGTCACACCTTATAACTGACTTTATCTCTTTGGCCACATTATTGGATCAGAGAAGAGCAAGACCAGCCAGGAAGTATTTAGGGCCCTTTGTGAGACACTTGCGGTGGGGATGGGGAGAAGTGTGGGGTGATGTTTAGAATATGTAACCAGTAATACCTGAGGACAGGTGAATGTTAGAAAGCCTCCGAAACCCTTGATCGCCATTCCAAATGATTACTGTTACCTTCGGCACCTCAAACCTAGGTGCTGAATTACCCCGGTCTTCTTCAGCTGGACTTGACTTTCCTTTCCTACTTGATTCTAGATTCTTCCCATCCTCGGTACATTCTGTATAATTCCTATCTTGCTAATTTTTCTCAACATTTTATTGGCTGTGCAAACTGATGCTCATGTAGGTATTATGAAAATACTAAAGTCAGTATTGCTATGAAACTTTCTTTGTGAGAAAGAGGAATAAGACTAGAATAATGTTAGATGTTATGATTTTTATATAGACTGGTTTAAAAATAATTTTCAATCTTACAAATGTTTTGGCTGCCATCCACATCTTAAACATTCATAAATGAGACAAATATATATTTAATGTAATTAGTCATGTTGTATTCATGTCATTGTAATGCTGAGAATGCATTGTTTCTACCAGTTATAAGGTAGCATGCTGCCTTTTTGCATTTTTTCTTTTTTTTTTTTTAAGAGAGATTTTTACTTTGGGGTGCCTACACTCAGTGGAAAGACAGACAGAGAAAGTGAGAAATCACCCCCAGGGGAGATGGCCATGCCACAGTCCTTTTTCCATACTCCTCGGAATTTTGGGCGTGGCGTGCACGCATACATGCACAGCATGAATTTCAAGCCTCCGTGTGGGATGTGTACCATGTTTGACCATGTGCAAGCCCAGTGCCTTAACCACTACACCGCCTGCTGCCCTCTCCCCCAGGAGCATGCCTCTTTAATCCTCTGCGGTAAATTGATTAGCCCATAAAAATGCCTTTACCCAGAAGCTACATTAGATAGATAATAATGCAGTCACTCACTTAACGACCACCTGTTTACAACCAGTTCTCTAGCTCTGGGAATCCACTTTCTCATTGTTCATCTCCTTCCCACAGTCAGTCAGTATGCACTGCACAAAGTGTTTACAATCACATGAGACGACATTTTGTTTTTATCATGCCCCTATAGTAGTATTCAGAATAAACTAAAATTATTACACCAGATTTATATTACTCTGTGTCTTGTTGTTCTCTGGTGCTTGTCTAATGTATGCTCTTTGTATGGGTAGAATTTTGGTTTGGTGTCACTGGTCTCTGTTGAGAAATATATACCCTATAGTGCCATGACACACCACAAGACATCCACCTCTAAGCTTCCTTCGAATCAGTTTGTCTAATGACCTAATCCTAAGAGTGGAACTCAGTCGCTAAGCGAGGAGTACCTTTCTCACAGAATTTCCCCCCCTACCTTTCAGGGTTAGTTTGCATCTAATTATAATGGTATAAAGTTGTGTGTTGGAAATTGCATAACAACCCATTAGTGGATTATGAAACCAATGTGGTTGATTTAAAAAGTACTAAAATACATTTAAAAAAAAAAAAACACTAAAACAGGGGCTGGCAGGTGGTGTGGTGGTTGGGGGCACTGGACTCCCACATGGCCGACTGAGGTTCAAGTCCAGGACCTGACAGCTTGCTTAGCTTCCTTTCACTCGCTCATTCTTTCTCTCTCTATCCCTCTCTGGTCAAATTAAAATAAAATAAATGAATAAATAAATGAAATAAAACTGTTAAAAATACTAAAATAGATCATATGAATGTGTTACATACAACAAGGATAAATAATGTTCTGTGAGATGTTAGTGTGTACATATGGGTATTCAGGGTCTCAATGTAAAATATATCTCATTGGTTGAAGTCAAAGATTGAAAAGCCACTGATAGGACATGAACTGGATTTAAGAATCAAAAGACAGAGCTTATTTAAATAACTGACCATCAGCTTGGAGCAAATAGTTTTCTCTTCCGGGGTTTTTGTTTCCTCATCTACAAATAAGTATTACTCTTTTTTTTTTTTTTAAGAATTATTTTATTTATTCATTCATTCATTTATTTTAATTTGATCAGAGAGTGACACAGAAAGAGAGATAGGGAAAGTGAGAAAGCAAGCCACCAAGTCCAGGACTCGAACCGTAGTTGACCATGTGGGAGTTTCTAGCGCCTTAACCATCACACCACCTGCTGGCCCCACAAATAAGTGTTATTCTTGATTTGAACACTGAAGTAGATAGGAATGTGAGGGGAAAGGGTCGAAAGCAGAGAGATACTGTTGGGTCATTAGGAAAAACATAATGCATTTTTGCATGGAAAAGCAGAAAAATTCGTTAGGATTTTCCCAACAACCTAATAATTTTACTGCAATAACTTCAGTAAAATACAATAATAGCTTCAACTAGGGTGGACACAGAAAATGTTTGAGAGTCTGGATTATTTTGAAATTCCAGATGAAATACGCTTGCCCACTAGACACATCATTTTTTCATACAGTTTCATGGGACTTGTTGGGATCCAGAAATATTAATTCCATATTTTCCAGTTTAAAACTTATGGGGCCAGCTGTGGTGTGGTGGATAGGGGCACTGGACTCGACTCCTACATGACCAACCACCATTCAGGTTTGGACCTGGTGGCTTGCTTTCTCTCTCTCTCACTCTGTCCCTCTCTGGTCAAATTAAAGCTAAATAAAATAATTTTTTTTTTTTTTTGGAGAGATTTTCACTGTAGGGCGCGTGCGCTCGCCAGACAGAGAGAAACAGAGACAGAAAGCGAGAAATCACCCCCCAGAGGGGATGGTCACGCCGCAATCCCTTCTCCTCCATTCTCCTCTCGGGATCTTGGGCACACACGCACACGCGCCTGGCGTGAGTTTTAAGCCACCGGGTCCGGGACACGAACCGTGGTCGACTACGTGGAAGTCCAGCAACATAGCCATTACGCTAACTGCTGGTTCCCAATAAAATAATTCTTAAAAAAAAAAAAAAAAACCTATGATATTTTAGGGACCAGCTAATGGAGTAATGGTTGTGTTGCGGGACTCCCATGTGGCAGACCACAGTTCAAGTCCTGGACCTGGTTGCTTAAAACACTCTGGTTGCCTGTGCGTTTGTGCCAAAATTCCAAGAGGAGAATGGAGGAAACGGGATTGTGGTGTGGCTACCCTTCCCTCCCCACAAGGGGTGATTTCTCACTTTCTGTCTCTGTCTCTCCGGCAAGCACACACGCCCTATAACAAAAATCTTTCCCAAAAAAAACCACTTGTGATGGTAAAACAATATATATTATTATATTTTTATAAAAATGTATTAGAAAATAAATGTTTGCGTATGATAAAAAAAAATTAAGCTGTGGAAAATAATAAAAGCCAACATTTCCCAAGCCCCCTCACCTACCTCTGCTTCCAAGAAGAAATATTCTACATCTCTTAGTTACTGCTTTTGGGATTTTATATTTCTGAATATGCTTTATTGCTTTTACTCGATTTCCAGATTCATATATTTTACATCAGCTTTCCGTTCTGGTAGAAGAGCATATATTGGGCCATTGGGTGGGATGGTGCTTAAGGTGGCTGGGTCCCACATGGCCAACAGTGTGGTTCAAGTCCCAGGCCCGCCAGCTTGAAAAACACGATGGATACATGTGTACATGCCCAAAATCTAAAAGGAAGGATAAATGGAGGAGAAGGGATTATGATGTGACCATCTCCCTTTTGGGGTACATTCTCACTTTCCTACTTGCACTCCTCTTTCTGTCTCCAGCAAGTGCACATGCCCTCTGGCAAGGATTAAAAATAGAATTTCCTATTGTACTACTCTCCATGTCCCCCTTCTTTCCAACCTCTCAGTATATAGGTTAGCTCAGTAGTCGGTGCCTGCCTGAGGGTGACAGTGTAAGTTCACTGCAGAGCTAAATTGTATGTTATGTTGACCTTTTTGACTAACTTCATTTTCCCCTCAGGAGTTAATAATTGCCCATTTAAAGATTTTTGTTTAGTTATACGAGTACTCATACTTGAATATTTATTTTCATATGGTCAAATAATATCTTAGTTTATTAGCATTTTCCCCTGGAGATCTTGGTCCCTCTGAACTCTAATCTTATCTGGTCTCTTACCTAGATCGGTTGTTTTCTTTCTAAGCCTGGCATTTCACTGTCCTCTTGGAACTCCTTCCTCTGTCTCATGTTATTCCACTCCTGCATATGATTCCCTCCACAATTTTAGTTTACTCCCTTGATTTATAAAACACATTTTAGTTACTGGATAAGGGTGCAAGGTAGGGAATTTCTTAGTATTTCTTTGTGTGTATGTGCAGGTGTATTTTATCTACTTCATAGTTAGATTTGCTGTAGAATTCTTGGATGCGTAATCTGCAGCTATTGAGAAGCCTTATGCTAGTCTGATGACTTTTTCTTTGTTTTGTGATCTTCTTTCTGAAAGTTGATGAACTCTTCCTTATCTCCAAAATTGTAAAAGATTGCTAAAAGAAAAAAGAAAATAAAGGAAAAAAAATGTAATAGCACATCTTGATATGGGTGGGTGTTTTTGTTTTGTTTTGGGTTTTTTTGGAGAAGTTTTTGTTATAGGGTGCATGCCTCACTGGAGAGACAGACAGAAAGCTAGAAACAATCACAAGAAATCACCCCCTAGGAGGATGGTCAAGCTGCCCACAAGCCCTTCTCCATTCTCCGCTCAGGATTTTGGGCACATATGCACACTCGCCCAGCGTGAGTTTTAAGCCACTCGAGTTTTAACACCCCCCTCCTCCCCACCCCGGGTCTTTCCTCCTGTCAGTTACTTGGCATCTGTGTCTGCTGACTTCTTTAGCACTGTCTGCCATTGTGGATGATTTCTTTGGACACTTGACATTGATGTAGGAGGTAAAACTTTCTTTGTGTGTGTGTGTGTGTGTGTGTGTGTGTGTGTTTTGAGGATTTTTGCCATAGGGCGTGTGTGCTTGCCAGACAGAGACAAAGAGACCTAAAGCGAGAAGTCACCCTCCGAGGGGGTATGGCCACGCTGCAGTCCCTTCTCCTCCATTCTCCTCTTGGGATCTTGGGCACGCACACACACACACACACCCAGTGTGAGTTTTAAGCCACCGGGTCCGGGACTCTAACCGCAGTCGACTACATGGGAGTCCAGCAACATAGCTATTACGCTAACTACTGGTCCCTCAAAGTCTTATTCTTGATATACAGATACCAGACTTAGTTCTTTTTGGCTACTGAAGGTACATGTGTACAGTCAAATGAAACTTTTTAAAAATTCATTAAAATTTAAAATGTTAGTAATTTGGCAAAGGTCGGGGTGCCCACTCAGTTTACAGCTCTGAGCTGTACTAACATGTGAACGCAGTAGGTGAGTTTTATTGTCTCGTTTTCTTGTAGATGTGGTGGTACAGTAGGAGCTATTCTGACATGCCCACTGGAAGTTGTGAAGACACGGCTGCAGTCATCCTCCGTGACTCTGTATATCTCTGAAGTTCAGCTGAACACCATGGCTGGAGCCAGTGTCAACAGAATAGTGTCTCCTGGACCTCTCCATTGCCTGAAGTGAGCAAAGAGTCCCTGAATATGTATTTAGTGTGCTTACCTTATTGAGCCCATGTGTGTTCATATTCTGCCACATTTAAAAGAGTCCTTTACAAACTTAGTTAAGTTAGTCTGGATTGTCCCAGCCGTGGTGGCGCAGCAGTACCACAACGTTTTGTGATGCTGGAAGCCACAGGGAAGATCAGGATTTGGTTCCTAGCATGACATGCATGCGCCTGTGTTTCAGGATGACTGAAAGGTGGGCGGAGGTGTGGGGATCAGGTCCCAGCATTAGAGCCTATTGAATGTCCATGTTTTTCTCTTAATAGGAAGGAAGGAAGGAAATAAAAAATTTTTTTACTCTAAATTATCTTGGTGAGAAATTATATAGAAGAAGAATAATACTATTTCCAAATTGTATATTTAGAATACTTTTTCAGTGGTTTATAATCCAATCCAATGGATTACTTTTCTTTTTTTTTAAGAAATTTATATTGAATTTTATTATTATTTTTTTCATGGTCATGACTTTCCCGATGACCTAAAGTTTTCCAAGTCGTTGCATAAGTTCATTCAAGTAATAGCAGTCTGTGATTTTTTGTTTTGTTCTGTTCCTTAATATTTGGTTTGGTTTGGTTTGCAATAGAGTGCTTTGCGCTCAACAGAGAGAGAAAGAGGTCAAGTAAGAAAGCACCCTCCTGCGGGGATGGCCATGCCGCAATCCCTTCTTCTCCATTCTCCTCTCAGGATTTTGGGCATGAACATACTCATCCCTGGCATGTCTCTGAAGCCACCAGGTCCCAGACTTGAACTGCACAGTCAGCCATGTGAGATCCAGCTGCCCCCATCACCAGGCTGCCCACTAGCCCAGCTTCATAGTTTTATTCATCATAGAGTTCCTGAGTGAATATGAGAATAAAAGAAAGTGGGTGATGAGCAGCCTCCATGGATGGGGTCTGCTTATGCCATCATCCCCTTCCCCAGATCTCCAGCCTGTTGGAGAACCTGGCATGTTTCAGGCTAAACAGCCCTGGTATTTAAAGCACTGTCACTGTATAAGATTTAAGGTTTGTTTCTTGGGAGGATACAAAGGCAGGTAGGCAGGTATTTCTTTCTTTCTTTCTTTCTTTCTTCTTTTTTTGTAGAATTATTTACTTAATTTTATTTATGATGATTATTTTTTAAAATTTGTTTTAGGGCACATGCAGTCATCAGAGAGACAGAGGGAGGGAGGGAAAGTGAGAAAGCAAACCACCAGATCCAAGACTCGAACCTCAGTCAGCCATGTGGGAGACTAGCACCTTAACCACCACACCACCTGCTTGCCCAAAGGCAGATATTCTTGATTTTTAAATTTTTTAATTTATTTATTTAGATTTTTGCCATAGGGCATGTATGTGCTCTCTGAAAAAGAGACAGAGGGAAAATGAGAAATCACCCCCCAGTGGACATGGCCATGCCACAGTCCCTTCTCCATTTTCCTTTGAAGATTTAGGGTATGCACACACACGGCCCATGTGAGTTTCAAGCCACTGGGTCTGGGACTGGAATCACAGTCAGTCATGTGGGAGTCCAGCACCTTAACCAACACACAACCTTTTGGCCCCAGTATTCTTGATTTTAAAATGCTCTTAAATGTTTGACATTTCCTGATGGTTTGAAAAATTTATTTTACAGTTTGTCAGACTTTATTATGTTGCCGTTGGATTTATACTTTCAAAACTATTAAAATTAGGGACCAACAGATGGCATAATGGTTACATTGCTGGTCTTCCACGTAGTTGACTGTGGTTCAAGTCCCAGACCCGGCAGCTTAAACTGCTAGGCACATGTGTGTGCATACCCAAGATCCCGAGAAGAGAATGGAGAAGGGATTGCAGCTGGCCATTACCCTGGGGGGGGAGGGGGTTGTGATTTATCACTTTATGTCTCTGTCCCTCCAGAGAGTACACATGTCCTGTAGCAAAAATCTCTTTTATTTAAAAAAAAAATCTCTCTCCTAAAAAAAAAAATTTAAAAACCTATTAGCTTTATATTTTAATTCGTGTTTACATGTAACTGAATGCCTGTGTGTCTGCCTTATCAGCTCACTTGGGGCTTTATCTGTTTGAACTTAGCTCAGTAATGCTTGTTCTGAGGTAGCAAGCAAACTCATCCTGTGTGTTTACCTTTGCTACCAAAGATTTCATCAGTCCTGTTTTTTTCCAAGCTTGATTATCTAACTATGTGAATACACAGAATGAAATGAACAATTTTAAATTAAAATGTTGTAATTATAAATACTCCTAATAGGAAAATCGTATCCTGATTTTGACATTTTTCCTACTGATAACCTTTCCTTAAAATTCTTTCTTTGACTTCTGTGATCAATTTTTTATTCTCCTTCTCCATGGTTCGGCCTTTCTTTCTCACAGGAACTTTAGTGATGTCCCTTTGGGCTCTGTTCCATTTTGTTTTCTTTATTTTTAAAGTGTACTTTTTTCATGAGTGAGAGAATCAGAGCGTGAGAGAGAATCCCTGACAGGGTCTTGATGCCAAGATCTGTCCCCAGGTTCATTCAGCTCTGCAGGGGCACATGGGTGTCCAGTGTGCTCAGGGAGATCTCTGGATACAAATCTGGAACTTTCTCATGAGGGTCAGTCTCACACAGTGTTACTGTTTACTGCTACTCTACTGTCCAGCCCCTTGCTGTATTTCAGTACCTTAGTTTTTCAGGGCCTCCTTTTTTTGAGAGAGAGATTTTTGCTATAGGGCGTATATCCCACCAGAGAGACAGAAAGCAGGAAATCACCCTTTAGGAGGAATGGCTACGCAGCAGTTCCTCCTCCCCCATTTTCTTGGCATCTTCGGCACGTCCGTTCATGCACCCAGCCTGAGTTTCAAGACGTGAACTGCAGTTGACTAGACTACGAGGGAGTCCAGCGCCTTCACCACTGTGCCACCTGCTCATCCTTTCAGGCCTTCTTTAAGCCTGAAAGTTATGTATTATTTGTATAATGCTCACAGCAGCTACTGAGCAACATTGTTTTCCTTATTTGTTGCCTATGAAACTGGATGAGGGGAAAGTTACTTTGTGGTCTGATAGTCCGTTGCCAACATTGGCTTCGTATCTGAGAAACCTGGTCCCAAGGCCTTCTAAGTAGCTGTGCTCAGCTACCTCTGCAGAGACCACCTTCAGCGTATACGGTAGGTGTTCGAGCACCATTTGGCCTAGTGCCTCTGAATTAAAATGCCTACTCTTAGATCTTTTTCTCACTTCCAAAATGTCATTTAATAACTTGCCTTCCCTGACTTAGAGAAATCTGTTTCTTTCACTACTGGGCATATGTGTATCTTTCTTGTACAGTATTTGCTTGGTAGTATGGTCTGCTGAATTATTTGTTTCATTATAATTTTTTTTTTTACTAGCACAGAGCAAATTTCTCAATGTCAGGGCCCTCATTTTGTCTCTCTCTTTACCTGCTTAGTCATAAAAACGCTAGACAATAAATACTCAGTATAGTAAGTGTTAACTGGGTGGAGGGTAGAAATAAGCCAAACTTTCTGATCCGTAAAGGATGCTAGGATGGTCGATTTTGCCATTGCATTTCTGCAGAATGGTTGGATTCGAGATAACACACTGACAGTGGTGGCCAATACCAAGTAAAAGACCTCAGACCGAGGAAGGAACTTCTCTAATTGAGAATCGACGGTAAAGATAGACGGTTTAGGAGATGGAACATAAGAATAGCATGACTGTATGAAAGTGAATGTACAAATCTATATTGTAGCTTCAATTTTTTAGGAAAGAATATGAATTGGGTTATTATTATTACTAGTAAATCTGTTATTGCTCTTTAGTATTGATGATCTGTCATGAAAAAAGCAATTTTTAAGAATTTTTAAAATTTAATTTTATTCATTCATTTTCATTTGACTAGAGAGAGACACATACAGAGGGAGAGAGTGAGTGAGAAAGCAAGCCACCAGGTCCAGGACTTGAACCGTGTTCAGCCATGTGGGAGTGTCCAGCACCTTAACCACCACATCACCTGCTGGTCCCCCCCCCAAAAAAAAAACACAGATTTTTTTTTAAAAAATAACTATTTATTTTATTTATTCATTCATTGATTTTTTTAATTTGACCAGAGAGAAACAGAGGGTGAGAGTGAGAGAGAGAGGAAGTGAGAAAGCAAGCCACCAGGTCCAGGACTCAAACCCCGGTCGGCCATGTGGGAGTGTCCAGCGCCTTAACCACCACGCCACCTGCTGGTCCCAAAAAACAGAATTTTTTGTAAGTAAGGAAAACTGACCAGAGAAACGTAACATTGTAGTTCAAACACATGGTAAGTGAACTACCAGACTTTGAAGGACCTTGCTTTCTAATAAAATTTTTTTCTCTTTCAGAATGATCTTGGAAAAAGAAGGGCCTCGTTCCTTGTTTAGAGGATTAGGCCCCAATTTAGTGGGGGTGGCCCCTTCCAGGTAAAAAATTTAAAATTTAAGTAAAATGCAGTCTTTTTTGTTTCTTTCTTTCTTTCTTTCTTTCTTTCTTTCTTTCTTTTTGTTAAGAATTTTTTAATTTAACTTTATTTATTTAAATTTAACCAGGGAGGGACAGATCGAGAAAGTGAGAAAGCAAGCCTCCAGTTCCAGGACTCAAACTGTGGCACCACACTACCTACTGACCCCAGTCTTCCTTGTTCCAAGACATCTGAATTTGTTTGTTTATAGATAAATGGGTTTTTGTTGTATTTATTTATTTATTTTGCTGTAGGGCACATAGACTTGCTGGGGTGGGAGGAGAAAGCTCCATCCCCTCCGGGGGGCATGGTTATGCCACAGTCTGTTCTGCTCCATGTCTTCATTCTGCCAAGATTTGGGGCATACACACACACCCTGCATCCTCTTCAAGTTGCCAGGCCTTGGATTGGAATTGCTTGGTCATCCCTGTGTGGTATCTAGCTCCTTTAACCACCAGACCATGTAGCTGGTTGTTAATTTGTAGAACACATTTAAAAAGAAGTTATACAAAAAGTTTTTGTTTTCAATTAGCGAAGTACTAAGTGGCTGTCAGTATTAGATAGAGATCTGTTTGAAGATTGATGAAAGGAGCTTTATATTTGGCTTTTCTCTTTTTTTTTTTAAGTTAATTATGTCCCATAAAAGAGAACAGGAGACAGACAAATACAGGCACCTGACAGTGATCCGCCGGCCCAGGTCATGACAGTACACCTGTGTCCAATCAGTCCAGGGTGTGAACCCAGACCTTTCCCATGGTGGTCCAGTTGTATTACTCTTTTGCTGCTTCCTGCCCCTGGGGTTAGTCTTTTCTTAATAAGTCAGCACAAACAGTATTTAGGAGTATGCATGTCAGTTAATGTTACATGAGAATGTGACTAAAGCTTTGTTTTAGATTTCTCTATTCTAAAACTATGAAGATAACTTGACATTAAAATTTTAGGAATTAAACAACATGCTTATTAATAATCTTACATCCCTATTTTAGAGCAATATACTTTGCTGCTTATTCAAACTGCAAGGAAAAGCTGAATGGTGTATTTGATCCCGATTCTACCCAGGTACACATGATTTCAGCTGCAATGGCAGGTATGAATGTATTACATTATAAAAACAAAACTTTCTGAAACCTAGAGACTAAATACTGAGTTTTGATGAGCTTATATTGACAAGTTAAAATAATTAATGTGTTTTTTGTTGATTAGCATCGGCAAAGATGATTTTTACATTACTGTAAAACAGAATTGATTAGATATATATATATGTATAGAAACTGCCATTAAGTTGGCATTTTTGTAATTAGGAGTTTAAGTGAAGGATACAGGTAACATATTTATATTGCCTTGTGTAGTCCACTGAATACATAGTATCACTTCTAACAGTTTTAAGAATCTAAACATAATTATACTATAAATAAGTTATGGTGCTGTAATTTATTCTTCTCTCCTCAATTTCTGTTAGTGCCTTTTCCCTTTTTGCTGCATGTTTTGGCTTCTGTCTGAAATGTGCCGGCAATTCTTGGTAAAGTATTCATTTTGTCCTGTGCTCAAATGCTGAAATTTTTGTGAGTGATGTATTATTGGTAACTCAGAGTTACTGTAATGTGTGTATTTCTAAATACATATGTGTCCATCATTCTGTGTAAATCTACACCAGATCCCATCTGAAATTTCGACCTTGGCTATGTGTACATGTCTGCGGAGAAATGGTTCCAGGAACTCTTCTGTCACCTTTGAGAGTATATGTGATTCTGAATTAAAATAGCTAATCCCAGCTCTCTCCACTGCTTTAAAGACAGACTGTGGGAAATGATTGGACCCATGTGGTTCTGGAATCATTTCCTGCTATGCATGTTAGACAAAGCCCTGAACTGTGATTCTCCAAGAAAACGGTAAATTTTTATGCAACTTATTGCATATTTAACCATGCTTCACATTTGCCAATTACGCTGTGACTTTATAAAGCAAACTGTAGCTGCTTTTATCGTTATTGATAATAAGTCGAGTGTCAGTTGTGTGCTTAATGAATACCTTAAACTGTTAACCATTTTCTGTTTAGAAATAAATTGGATCAGTTTGAACCACAAACTTAACGAACTAAGTGTAAGTTTGACATTCTAATTTCTGAAAGGTTGGTAGCCTTTGCCATATAATAAGTTTAGCATATACGTTACAAATTGTTTTCATAGTTTTTCGTATTTTGTTATTGTTGACTGACTCTCTGAAGTTTTAAAGCTAGAAAGGTCAACTTTAAAGATCTACACAGTAAAATATTCACTTACCAATAAGGAGGTCATGGGCAAGTTATGTCATTTATATGAACTCCCATTATCTTATCAGTGGAGTAAGTAGATTGGTCTACATAGCTTTGAATTTTGAGAACTTGGTTTTCTGTTTAGTACCTTAGAAAATTAACAATTATTTTTAATGTACGTTTTACAGATGTTGCATATGAATAGATAAGATTTTCCCCTACAAATTTGAGTGGGTATAAGGTAAAAGCTGATGGCCAGTGACAAACCTTATAATCACTATACTAGGTTGTTTAAGAATTTATTTCTGCATACCAGTATTGATGTTTTGGGTTTTAAACCCTAGAAAATTAGAAAGGAATGTTCATCTTCCTTTTTTGGAAAGCCTGACATTAAGGAAGTAGATGAACAATCATTTTTAGTTGAGGATATATGTTAAATATTTAGTATTGTAAATTAGAAGGTTCAGAATATCTTTATTTCCACTGGCACATCTAATTTCATTAGACTATCTCATGAGAATTTATTACCGTATTGAAAGAATTTCAGTAGATTTTTCAGTTTTCCTTTTTCTCAAATACGTGTGAATGCTAACTCATGGTCTGTTTTTATATACACACTGATACTGTTGCCCAATTTGAATTCCTGGAATTTTAGGAAATTGAGAGTCATACTGTTCAGAGATGATGGTACACTAATCGTGGGATTTGAAAGTGCCTCCTCCGTTTGTTTGCAGAGACTTGTGCTTTCAGAGCTTCCTTGCACTGTTCATGACCATTAACACTTAGCTTCGCGGTTTTTACACATAACCACGTGGTTGGTGAAATTGAATGATCCAGTGCAGGCACGTTAAGGTAGCCTTTTGTCCCCTTGAAATAAACTATACCAGGTTGCTCTGGTTTTTCTTCAGAGTCATTTTGAGAGCTCTGAATACGAATGATTTGGGAGTGCAGAGTACTTAGAGATAGTCACATGGAAAATAATTTTTTAACTATTATTCTAGAACAAAATGCTAACCTTGTCACTTTCGTATCAGTAAAATGAATTAAAATAGACCATTAATGATATTGCCTATGAGATTTTTGCCACATCACACAGCACACACATTCATAATTTAGGAAGGCACCATCTACATAATTTTTATTCCAGTAATCTCTTATTTCAGTTTCATTTTGCATTTTGTCTATGTGAATGCAAGAATCTAATTTTGATACTAAAACTTTATTAAAAAGAGCAATTTAGGGACCAGCAGTTGGTATAATGGCTACCGCTGGACTACTATGTAGTCAACTGCAGTTCAAGTCCTGAACCCAGAGGCTTAAACTCAATGCCGGTACGTGTGCGTGCGTGCCCAAGATCCCAAGAGGGGGATGGAGGAGAAGGGATTGCAGCGTGGCCATCCCCCCCCAGGGGGTGATTTCTAGCTTTCTGTCTCTCTCTCTGTCTTTCTGGCGAGCACACACACCCTATAGCAAAAACCTCTCAAAAAAAAATTTAAGATAGGTCTTTTTGTATTTTGTAGTGTTATTTTATTAGTGGATGCTACAATAACTTTTAAGCCTCTAAATTTAAGCTGTGTTAATTTTTAGGCATCTGTTTTGTGTCTAGGTGTTCGTTTAAATTAACTTGAATATTTCTCTGTAGACATCTAGGCACAGATATGTACACACACCAAAAAAAATTATATTAACTGTCATTTTTGTACACAAAAGATTATATTGCTTTTTCTTTATAGCAGTTGCAGTATTTAAAAAATCTTGTCTGGCATATTTTTCTTTCTTTTTTTTCTTTTTCTTCTTTTTATTACAGGGTACATGTGCTATCTAGAGAGAAGGAAAGTGAGAAATCACCTGCCTGGGGGCGGGGGGGATGGCCATGCCACAGTTTCTTCTCCATTCTCCTCTTGGAACTTTGGGCACACACCCATGCCTGGCATGATTTCAAGCTATTGGGTCCAAGACTCAAACTATAGAGTCAGCTCTGTGGGATCCAGCTGCCTAATCTCCGTACTGCTTGCTGGCCTCTAGCAAATACATTATCAATACTTATCTGTACAATATTATAAATGTAAGAGAAATAACTTCAATTTTTATTGAAGTACGTATCCATTATATTGGATTATATATTCACAGTCATCACTCATTGTTAAAATGTCACTAATGTAATCACTTGATGTCTTTTACATATCTCATAGTTTTTATTAGTTCACATTATATACTGCTGTTTTTCAAAATATGTTTTTGTTAAAGCCCATTTTTTAAAAGTTAAGTCTTTACTCACTAAATACAAATTGTGTCTTGCATATATGAAATATTTTTAAACAATATTTGTCTATAGCTATTCATTCAGCCAGATGGATGGTTAGACAGATGTTGTGTGTGTTTGTGTGTAAACATTCTTCTTGTTTTTTTGTTTTGTAGAACACAAGAAATTAAGTACAAAATAATCCAAAAACTGAAAGGTACTATTATAGCAGCATATACTTAATTTTATTTTTAAAAATTATAAGTAGTTCCAAAATGAAGTTACTTGAATAGTCTTTTGGGTTTTACTGTATTTTTTAAAGAGATTTACTAGTTAGACTGGTTTTAAAGAATTAAAAATTGTGTTTTCAACTCTTTGATCACAGTAGGTGATAATGGTAGGAAAATGAGAAATGATAATCTTCTTTAAAATTTTTTTTAGATTCCCCTTTGACAAGGTTAGCATTTTTTTCTCTTAAGGCAAAATGGTCTCTTAGGTAAGTATTTAGACTCTGACACTGCTGCAGACAGCAGGATTTTCAGTACTCAGTTCATTTTTTTATTATTAATTATGCCCCTTTCTTATACTCTTTTCTTTTTCTTTTTTAACTTAAAATATTCAAAAAAAGTTAGATCTCACAGTAAATATTTCTCCGATCCTTCCAATCGGATTCGATTTGTACACATGTTTCTGATGAGGTCACTGCTTGTGGTTATGATACAGAAAAGCCTGTGTCTATTTTAGGCATTTACTGTACATTTCTCCCGAGAAAAGAGTGAGATCGTGTCATCTCATGCTCCCCATCCGCAGGTCACTTCCTGTAGAAATATGGACTAACTTAAACCTCGTGAGTACTGATCTGAGCATCTCTTGCAGCCTCTAGTATAAGAAACACACCCTGGGATTTTGTGATAGCTGTGGAATTAATAGGAGGCGGGACATGAGCTCTTATTTCCTGAACTTGTGTGTGCATTATGGAATATTTCATGAAAATTTAATTCTAATGCCTTTAATATTCCTGCTAGAAGGAAGAATGGGGTACTTTTCAGTCACCATATAGTAAAAGTTCAGGGTCTTCAGCTTGGTAACAGCCTTGACCACCAAAGACTTAGATAACAGTACCTGTGCCTAAGTTTGAATGGCATCATAGCATCCTACAGCTTTTAGATAAAGCAGTCGTTTTCTTTACTTAGCATAGCAGAGTTAAACAGTCTAATACACTGCTTTCTTTTCTTATCTGTTGAGATTTGGCTTTCTATTCTTTCGCAGAAATACTAATCTTAATATCATTACTTTCTAAATAAATGCCAGATAAGAACATATGGGATCTTAGCTGTTTTAGTTTTAATTACTTTTAAAAAAATAGTTTTTAATATATTTTTTCCTGGGAAGCTATGTGGGATTTGTACAGAAATTAATTGAAATTAAAATATTGAAAATATGCAGTACTATAGGTATCACTCAATGAAATAAACATTCTCGGCAAACGTTCTGTAAGCAGGGCATTTTAGTTCATTTGGTTTTTGATTGATTCACACTATCAACTGAAGTCTTAGATAAAGCAACACTTAAAATTGCCCAATTTAAAATCATTTTAAGCTTTCTAATAAAATACTAACCACACTACTAACGTATGGCCAGTATATTGGCGGTTTGCTTTTCACTGACCGTAGAGCAGTATCATTGACCTACAAATGGATCCCTCATATACTCTTAAGTTCATTTAATGTTTTACTGAGTGCTCAGAATATCCATTTAAATTAACATGTTATCAAAAGTCACAAATTCAAATGTAAAATAAAACAGTCCATTTCTAAGTCTCAGGGGCACCATTTCCAATATCACTGTGTGCGTTTGTCTTAGGTATAGGAAGATACGTTTGGGTTTGGCTAACTTCAAGTTCCTCACCGTATATTACTCTAAGTTGTAAAATTTTGTTCCTTTCTATTTGTTTTATTTCTTGGATTATATTTGTCTAGATTTAATTAACCTAATAATATCTACTACTTAGGGTTTTTTATTGGGTTTTTTTGGGATTTTTTTAGTGTCTTTGGTTAAAAAAAAAAAAAAGGTAGTAGCATAAAACTCACCAGAGTGTTAACTGATAAAGGCCAATAGCTAAAACCTGTGGATTATATCTAGATTTATATGACCTAATGGTTGGCTGGCAGTTAGGCTAGTGTCTTTATTAAAAGCTAGCTAGCAGGGCCAATAGGTGGCAGAGTGGTAAAGACATTGGACTCCCACATGGCTGACCATGGTTCGAATACCAGACCAGTGCCTTGAAAATCACACTGGCTGTGTGTGCAGGCATGCCCAGAGTCCTGAGAGGAGAATGGAGGAGAAGGAATTGTGGCGTGACCATCCCCCTGGAGGATGATTTCTCGCTTTCCCTCTCTCTCTCTTTAGCAAGCAAACGCACACTTTGGCCGAAAACAAAAACTAAATAAATAAAAGCTAGGTAGCTGTCCTTATTGGGAAAGTTGAGGCAGAGTTTAGCCAGAATTGAATTAAATGTAGCTTACTGATAAAACCAATCTTATAGGGATAAAATAACAACATTCTCTTATTTACCCAGACTTTAATGTGTTACCTAATATAGGGTAATTTGTACCTAGAAATGAATTTTAGTTAAGTGAGAAATGCCTGTTGTTTGCTTTCTGACATTGTTTACTGATGTGAACAGAAGATAGTTTTAAATTATAACTTATGGGCCCTTAAAATATTTTATTCCTAGTTAAAAAAAATTTTTGTTGTAATGTTTTAAAGGATTTTATTTGTTTGTTTTAATATGTAAGTTTTGTCCCAGCCTCAAATTGAGGAATTTTATGACATGGAAGAATATTACAGGCAGAAGCTTGAGTACTAAGTTTATATTTTCAGAAATAGAACTTTTATTTAAAAACAAAACTTTGGCACTTGTCTTTTTAAGTCAAGTATAGTAACTTGAGAGAACTTGCCTAGATGGACTGTTTTAAAAGAAAGTTTGATACAAGAATTCCCAGTTTTCGGCTTAAATTTTAATAAAAAGCAGATAGTGTTCGTAAGGTAGATTTGTATAGAATGATTAGCGAGTGCCGTCATGCGCCACGCAGGGCATCTGGTTGACGTGTGCTGTGCAGCAGCATTTCAGTAATAAACTCTCATCTCTGCAGACATGTAGCTAATCAGGGTACTGAAGTTTAAAAATTAAGAATTATTAAATTGTAGTTTGACCGGACTATTTGGTATTTCATTGCAACTTTTTCAGTAGGAAAATGAGATTCAAAAGAAAAAATAATTTTCTGTAAGTTCTCAATTAGGCCATGCCATAGGAAAAAAAGTATTAAAAGTTATCTGATAACATATTTTTTCCTTTTATCAAGAATATTTGCATGGGAAAAAAAACCTTTTATCTAAAAAGATGTTCCCTGCAACCTGTTCAGCACCTTTAATTTTTTATTTTAGTACCAGCAGATACTTCTAAAATTCTTGATTTTATCTTGTTAATAGTTTTATGTTTATGTATTCATTATTAAAATACCTTAAGAGAAATTAAGACTATATAATCTTTACAAAATTATTGAAGTTATCGAATCATATTTTTATTTTATTTATCTTGCCTGCTAACCAGATTTAATTAGAATATCCCTTTGAGTAACAGCTGGCTATTTCTGCAATGTTAAAATTGGAGTAAGAGAGATTTTGAGTTAGCTTCTTATCTGACATCATAGAATACAAAAGAGCTTTGTGAGACCATATCAGTTTTGTAAACAATTTATTCGGATTAGTTTACATACCTAGATATAACTTTATAAACTTTGAAAGTTAAGAAAGGTTTATTATTGGTTTGTACTATATATTAACTTAAAAAGCAAATTATTCCCAAATATATCACAGCATTTCTGTTCCTGAAATAATTTACAATAAATGTGCTGATTATAAGTCCACTTTTCTAAAAATAATGTACTTGACCTGCTAGTGTTTATGATAGGAAATATTAAAACAGTTAAGATCCTTAGACCTTTCTCCATATCAATTTGTACTGATTTAAAAGTCAATTGAATAAATGTAGCGTGACGTCAGTAGTTCAATAAAGTGTGTGTAACTAACTTAAATGTAAAAGCAATATATTAAGGCCTTTTGTGTAGGTGAAGCAGTCTTAGTGAGTTCCCACCATCAAGAGTGCATTTTGTGTGCCCTGTTTTTCCGTTCCTAGGAAGGTGGCAGGTAGAAGATGCACGCTAGTTTAGAAACATCCTGTTCTGGAGACCTTAATTCCCCACCTGGAATGAGCCTCAGAGGTGACCACATCTCTGCACTAACAGTATATAGTACTTTAATGTTAAAGTAAACTAGAGCTGCTTTCTACCCCGACTTTCTTTCATCATTGTCTCTAAAAGAAGAAAGTTCCGATTTGTAACTTTTTTTCAGCTATTGAGTTTTTGTATGTGTTTAAGTGGATGAAAGATAGATCTGTCCTATTAACCCTAACAGAAACCTTGCCTCACCATTGTTTTAACAGTATTAGTAAACACATTCATATTGTAGAGAGTATCCTTAGGGCCAAACAACAGTCTTTTTGTTATAGTCAGCTAAAGATCACGATTTTAGCAAATGCTGGTGTCTATGTAGAATCCATAGTGAATGTAGTTATTCGCGGTGCTGATCGGATCCTAAGTAGCTGCCGTAGAGTGCATGCTTGCCAGCCTTAGAGTACACAGACTTTCTTCCTGTCTGTAGAAATGGGTCTGAATTCACCTTAGAGAGTAGGGTGCCTGAGTAGATTGGAGGAGCAATTTATGATCAATTAGATTTTGCTCTTAAAATAGAAACATTTGCGGTTGTTTATAAAGCACACATCAATTAGTAGTTTAAATATATGCATTTTAATATAAATTTTAATATAATTTAATATAATTTTTTAAAACCTCAAAGTTAATAGTGTGTTCCTAATTTTTACCAGAGTTCATTTTAAACATGTTTGTTTAGGTTTTACTGCAATCACAGCCACCAACCCCATTTGGCTTATAAAGACTCGGTTACAGCTTGATGCAAGGTATGTTAAATCTTCTAAATAAAATTAAAGTGAGCTAAACTCATTCTTTTATATAAATTCGTGTCAACAAAACATCAGTGACTTGTATCTAAACCACGTTTTTCCCTTCTTAACCTTTTGTTGCTGAATCTGTCTTTCTGGCTTTGTTTTCTAACTTGGGTCTGCCATCAGAAGCAAAAGTAATATAATAATTGACATTTCTCCAGGTGGAGAAAATGTATTATGTGTTGGTGTTTTTGTTTTTAGGAGAGAGTTTTTCACTACAAGGTGCATGTACTCGCTGAAGAGACAGAAAGTGAGAAATCACCCCAAGGGGGGATAGCCACACTGTAATCTCTTCTTCTCCATGCTCCTCTCAGGATTTTTTTTTTAGGAGTTATTTTATTTAACTTTATTTATTGCCGCTATTATTATTTTTCAGTTTGAACAGACAGAGAGAGACAGAGAAAGAGAGAGAGGGAAAGCAAGCCACCAAGTCCAGGACTTGAACTGTGGTCAGCCAAGTGGGAGTTCAGCGCCTTTAATCACCATGCCACCTGCTGGCCTCTCCTCTCAGAATTTTGGCAAATGGTGATGTTTTAAAACACACATGGGCCCAGCGTAAGTTTTAAGTTGCCAGTCTAGGACTTAAACTGCAGTTGACTAGGTGGGAGTCCAGCAACATAACCATTATGCCATTTTCTGATCCCTGGTGTCTTTTTTTTTCTTTTTTAATTATTTAATTGTTTTTATTATTGGTGGTAGTATTATTCAGTTTGAACAGAGAGGGGGTGGGGGAGAGCAAGGGAGAGCAAGAAAGCAAGCTGCCGGTCCGGGACTCAAACCACAATTAGCCATGTGGGAGTCCAGCGCCTTAACCACCACACCATCTGCCAGCCCCCCTGAAAAATGGTTTATTAACCAGTCCAAGAAGTGGTATCTGCCCTGCCTGGATTCTGATAACTGGTATCCCAACAGCTGCAAACTCAACCTGGCCAGCTAGCCTGCACTGAGTCTTTGAGGACCATTGCTCAGACTCGGTGACCTTATGTACAAGGAGCCATGAACTGGGATATTCTTGTGTAGACACAGATGTAATCCGTTACCACTGCCCACTTTATAGGAGCAGCACTCATTCACTCAGCCCAGTCACATCGAGCAGGTAACTGCAGCATTCTCGAGATAGTGTGCCAGGAAACAGCGGGGACAGCCTCAAATGGAATAGTCAAGGAATTTTTGAGCCCATTCGAAGCAAAGGAAACAGTGCGGAAGCTCACAGGTCCTAGAGAATAGTGTCTTTGAAATGTTCTGAGAACTAAGGGAAGGCCAGAAACAATGCAGCTTAGGATTTGCCATCTCAGTTCCTGTTGGCCTTAGACTAAGGATTGGGGAAAGGTAGGTAATACTTTAAAATAGAGAGACAACAGGACCAGCAGATGGTGTAATGGGATGCTACGTCGCTGGATTCCCACGTAGTCTACTGCAGTTCTAGTCCCGGACCTGGTGGCTTAAGCTCACACCAGACGCATGTGTGCGTGCGTGCCCAAGATCCCGAGAGGAGAGTGGAAGAGGAAGGATTACACATGGCCATCCCCTCCAGGGCGTGATTTCTCACTTTTTTGTCCTCTGTCTCTCTTTCTGGTGAGTGCACATGCCCTATAGCGAAAAACCTCTTCAAAAAATTAGATGATCCTATCAGGTGTGTTGTAATATATTCTTAATATAAGGTTTGGAACTTCCAATCTGGAGTAGGTTCTGTGAATAAACATTTTTATATTTTGGGGTTTAGAAGGTAGTAGTATATCTTGTAGGCTGTAAATGAAGCTGATTTAACAAATCATTAACAATTAATTATGCCTGCTTAATTATCTGTTTTCCACGTTCTGTCATGTTGAACTATATGCTATTTGGAAACTTAAAAAGAAATGTAATTATTTCATCCTTTTAATGAAATATTAAGTTTGTAGCGCAACTCAAAGTTTATTTCTCAAATCCAAAAGATCTACAAAGTAATGGTAGATAAGATTTAACCCAAGAGTTTAATAACAGGAGATGCCAGTCCACATTTTTTTTTTTTGAGAGGTTTTACGCTATAGGGCGCGTGCGCTCGCCAGACAGACAGAAAGAGACATAGAGACAGAAAGCGAGAAATCACCCCCCAGGGGGGATGGTCACGCCGCAATCCCTTCTCCTCCATTCTCCTCTCAGGATCTTGGGCACGCACGCACACGCATCCGGCATGAGCTTTAAGCCACCAGGTCCGGGACGCGAACCGCGGTCAACTACGTGGGAGTCCAGCGACATAACCATTACGCTAACTGCTGGTTCCCGCCAGTCCACATTATATTATTTTAAACTACCTGAATTGTTTCAGTGTGTTACAGGGTTTTTATGTAGGAAATCCAGGAAAAATGTGACTTCAAATTCTTTAATATTGGGGCCAGCAGATGGCATAGCAGTTACATCGCCCGACTCCCATGTGGCCAGCCGGGTTTGAGTCTCGGACCCAAGTGTCTTGAAACTCAACTCTGGGGAACCAGCAGTTAGCGTAATGGCTATGTCGCTGGACTCCCACGTAGTCAACCGCGGTTCGTGTCCTGGACCCGGTGGCTTAAAACTCACGCCAGGCGCGTGTGCGTGCGTGCCCAAGATCCCGAGAGGAGAATGGAGGAGAAGGGATTGCGGCGTGACCATCCCCCCTGGGGGGTGATTTCTCGCTTTCTGTCTCTATGTCTCTCTCTGTCTGTCTGGCGAGCGCACGCGCCCTACAGTGAAAATCTCTCCAAAAAAAAAAAAACTCAACTCTGGGCACATGTGAGTGTATTCCATGCCCAAGATCCCGGGAGGAGAATGGAGAAGGGATTGCAGTGTGGCCATCCCACCTGGAGGGTGATTTCTCACTTTCCTTCTCACTATCTCTGTTTCTCTCTAGCAAGCACAAGTGCCCTAAGGCAAGAGCTCTACCAAAAAAACAAACAAGAACTCCTTAATTCTATTTTTTTCCACTTAAAGTTGTTACACAAGCTATCACAGTTCTTAGGATTGCAGAGGTGGGGAATGAGCTAGGGATGGGTAATAGTTGGGGATGGGGCAAATTTGACCTGAAGATTCTAGTTGATAACACTGAGATTAAAAAGAGCTGAGGCACCTCTTGTAACCCTTCCAGATGTGAGTCTCTTAACTTTATTGTCAGGAAGGGTCTTCAGTGGCAGAAATGAGTCAGAGCTTACCTAGATCATTCGGCCATATAGGTATTCAATATCTCTAATTAGTAGCTCATAAAATTGGTGAAATTCGCAGGTTAACAGTAGCTGTTTCCGTTGTGGTTTTATTTAAATTATGCCCAAGGAGATAAATCATAAGAGTAGGTATTCCGGGTTGGTCTTGTAGCCTGGTGGATAAGGGAACCAGATCCTTTAAAATAGAGATACCCACATGGCTGAACACACACTTTTTTTTAAAAAAAAGAATTATTATTTATTTAACTTTATTTATTACTGTTATTTTCCAGTTTGATTAGTGAGAAAGCAAGACACCGGGTCTGGGACTCGAACCGCAGTTGGCCATGTGGGATTCCAGCACCTTTAACCACCATGCCACCTGCCAGTCCCTGACCACACTTTTAAGTCCTAGTCCTGGCAGCCTGTAAAACTCATTGGGTGTGTGTCTGTGCACGTCCAAAGTCCCCACAGGATAGAAAGATGAGAAGAAATGGTGCTGTGACCATGCCCCATTAGGAATCGCTTTCTCCCCTTCCTTCTCTGCCTGTCTGTCCCTGGTGAGTGCACATGCCCTCTGCTTACTGGGGGGGCAGGGGAGATGCTGTGCCTTCTAAGTGTTATAAAGAAATTGTCTGTGGTATAATACTTCATAAACACTTAATTGAAGAAGTATATATAGTCTTGTTCTCTAGATATACTGGCATGGCCATCGACTTTATTTTATTTATTTATTTTGAGAGAGAGATTTTTGCTATAGGGTGCACGTGCTCACTAGACAGACCAAGATACAGAAAGTGAGAAATTACCCCCAAGGGGGGATAGCCATGCCGCAATCCCTTCTTTTCCTTTATTCTCTGGGGACTTGGGGAACACACCTGTGCACCTGGCATGAGTTTAAGCCTCCGGGTCCCGGACTCAAACCACAGTCAAGTAAGTGGGAGTCCAGCAACATAACCATTACGCCATCTGCTGATCCCTGTAATAATTCTGATTTCATATCTCCATGAATTAAAACCATCTTTTAGTAGAGTGGCTTATTTTTATTGAGTTTCATGTATTTAAAAACCTATACTGCTTTATTTATGTTGGTAAAATTTTCCTCTTTGTCTTTAGGAACCGTGGGGAAAAGCGAATGGGTGCTGTGGAATGTGTCCGCAGAGTGTACCAGGCAGACGGACCTAGAGGCTTTTATAGGGGCATGTCCGCCTCTTATGCCGGCATATCTGAGACTGTTATCCATTTTGTTATTTATGAAAGTATAAAGCAAAAACTACTGGAATATAAGACTGCTTCTACGATGGAAAATGATGAAGAGTCTGTTAAAGAACCGGACTCAAACCACAGTCAAGTAAGTGGGAGTCCAGCAACATAACCATTACGCCATCTGCTGATCCCTGTAATAATTCTGATTTCATATCTCCATGAATTAAAACCATCTTTTAGTAGAGTGGCTTATTTTTATTGAGTTTCATGTATTTAAAAACCTATACTGCTTTATTTATGTTGGTAAAATTTTCCTCTTTGTCTTTAGGAACCGTGGGGAAAAGCGAATGGGTGCTGTGGAATGTGTCCGCAGAGTGTACCAGGCAGACGGACCTAGAGGCTTTTATAGGGGCATGTCCGCCTCTTATGCCGGCATATCTGAGACTGTTATCCATTTTGTTATTTATGAAAGTATAAAGCAAAAACTACTGGAATATAAGACTGCTTCTACGATGGAAAATGATGAAGAGTCTGTTAAAGAAGCATCAGATTTCTTGGGCATGATGCTAGCTGCTGCCACCTCCAAGACTTGTGCCACTACGATAGCATATCCGCATGGTAAGGGGCTGGGTGTGAGTGCACCTGCTACATCGGAGCGCTTCCCATCACAGCCAGCAGCCTGTGCGTGAGGACATCTGTCATTTTCCTGAATTCTAGTAGGACACAGGGTGCTTCTTGGGAGGTCATGAGGAGGTTAACTGTGTTCAGGTGACGTAGGCTGAGTTTTGCTATAAGCTATCACATGCTGTGGTGGTGATCCGGCATGAGCTTTGGAGTCGGTCAGATTCCAGCCATACTTACCCCGCAGGCAAGTTTCTAAGTTCTGCTTTTTATTCAGTGCCCCAGAGGGCATGTGTGAGAGAGAAATCTTCCCGGTGGGCCTGGTCACGCTGCAGTCTTGTTTTTTCTCCATCCCACAAGAATCCTAAGCACATACACACAGCCCCAACTTGTTTTTCAAGTCTTCTAGGCCGAGATTCAAACCTCTGCTGGCCATGTGGGATCTGTCTCCCTCTGCACAGTGCTTACCTGCCATGTTACAGAAATGGGCCAGCCCAAGTTTCTGTTTTTGAAAAAAAAGAGTGTGGGCTGGCAAGTGGCATGGTGGTTAAGGTATTAGGCTCCCACATGGCCGACTGTGGTTCAAGTCCTGAATCTCATGACTGTTTTCTCACTTTCCCTTTCTTGTCTCTCTGGTCAAATTAAAAAATAAGAAAGTTAAATTTTTTTGGGGGGGGGTGTTTTGCAGTAGAGCACGCATGCTTGCTAAAGAGACAGATAACAAGAAATCACCCCCCAAGGAGGAAGGACATGCCACAGTCCCTTCTCCTCCATTCTCCTGGGCTCTTGGGCCCGCTTGCCTATCATAAGTTTCAAGCCACTGAGTCCAGGACTCAGAACATGCTCAACTACATGAGAGTCCAACAACATAACCATTATGCCATCTGCTGGTCCAAAATTAAATACTTCTTTTTAAAAAAGTATCTAAGGGCTATAATAGATATTTATATTCTTTGTTTCTAATCTACATAAAAATCCTCTGGAATTTTTTTGCCTTTTTTGTATAGTACTTCTCTATTTAAATGCTAGAACATAACCAGAATTATCTTCATTTTCAAGTGGGAAACAGGAAAGTGAAAATTTAGATTGTTCAAGGTTCATGGGGGGACCCAAACTTAAACCAGGATCTGCAATCTCAAAAAACAAGCTGTTTTACAATATTTTATATAGACAAATAAGTATATTAATCATTTATTTCTGTCTTCAAATTTTACAGAATTATCCTGTTTCATTAATAGCTTAAAAAAAAATTACTTAATGTGTCCGCAACACGCTGGGAGGTTTTTTTGTACCCTTATTTTGTTTCATGCTTTTGTTATACTGATGAACATTTATATTCCTCCTCAAAAGGAAAAATGAGGCATAGCTAGGACACAATTTTGGTCTACAATGCAATTTAGGAAACTAGCTCTTCAACCAAGTTGGACTGTAAACTTGGGCTTCCTGAAGGCAGTGAAAGCTCGGGGGTACCAGCAGTTCCATAGGTTTTGACCTCCTGTGGGTGAACCAGAATGGTGGCCCGCTAAAGTAAAGATGCTTTGGAGTTTAAGCATCTCGTCACTTGAAATCTCTTAGAAGTCATATGAAGATAGTCATGACTGATACAGTATTTTGGAAGTTAATGTATAAATTGCATGAAACCTTTAAGACAGGATAGGGATTTCAGATATTTTTATTTGTTTTGGGCTGCTTTACACTGTTTTCCCCCCATCAAAAATACTTGTAAAAAATTGAGAAATAATGTCTGTAGAAAGAGCAGTTCTATTAAGAAGGAAGCTCTAAATTCTTCACCCAGCCTTACTCCCAACTGTCTCTCAGTAGTCCCTATTCCTAACCTTTTAGAGCGAAGAATAATTAGATCAGTCTCATTAGATTTTTGCTGTATGACACGTGTGCTCACAGGAGAGACAGAAAGCGGGAAATCACCCCCCCAGAGGGCGTGGCCACACTGCAGTTCCTTCTCCTCCATTCTCGCTCCAAGATTTTGAGCACGCATGCACATGCACGCGGGGTAGGTTTCAAGCTTCCAAGTTCAGAATTCCAAGTCTAGAACTCCGGCCATGGTCAGCCATGTCGGAGTCCAGCAATGTAACCATTACGCCATCTGCTGTTCCCAAAATTAGACTAATCTTTAAGGTCCTCTCAGCTCTTAAAATTTAAGTTTTCATTTAGTTGATAGCCACTCGGCCTTACAGCTGTCAGCTAGTATTTTAACATTTTCAGCTTCTCGTCCACATAATGGCTTGCCTTGGTTTATGTGGACCATCGTGAATAGGTCAATAATTCTGTCTCCTCTGTGTCCTATCCACTGTTTCTCACTGTATCTTTCTGTATGCATGTCTGCTACCAGCCCTGTTACGTTTCTGCTTCTGTACCTTTTTTCTCTACTTCGGTTCTCCCTGTATCTCTTCAGTATTAACTGAATAGCCTTCTTTCGTTTCATTGTGCCTTTGCTCAGAAGCCTATATAGTCTTACAATTAGTGCATGTGACTTTGGCTGAATTAGCGGTTCGATGTCACTATAATGTGACTGGTTTTAATAACCTACACATTAAAAATCATTCCTGGGCTAGGAGGTGTGGTAGTTATGGTTGGGATCCTACATGGCAAACTGTACAGTTCGAATCCCTGACCCAGCAGCTTGAGAGAGATACCACGTGTGTGCGTTTGTGCCCAGAATTACAAAAGGAAGGAGAAATAGGAGACTCTTCTCCTATCTATGGTGTGACCACCCCCACAGAGGCTCTTTCTCATCACCTCTCCCCCATTTCTTTCCAGCAAGCATACGCATATTCTGGCAAATTTATTTAAAAAAAAAAAAACACTCCTTATTTATCCAGAGCTGTTTGTACTTACAGACTCATAAATGGTGTGTATGCAGTATAATTAGCAAAGTGTAAAGATACTAGTAATGTTTAAATGAAATAATTTTCTTTCCTTCCCAAACAGAAGTTATAAGAACAAGACTACGTGAAGAGGGAACAAAATATAGATCTTTTTTCCAGACACTGTCTTTGGTGGTTCAAGAGGAAGGTTACGGGTCTCTCTACCGTGGTCTAACAACTCACCTGGTGAGGCAGATTCCAAACACAGCCATCATGATGGCCACCTACGAGCTGGTGGTCTACCTGCTCAGCGGGTAGCAGGCCGCTGCCGGACTGCAGAGCGGGAAGACCAAAGGATCACAGTGGACCATGGAACGTGGAAGCCGGCAGGGCGGACAGAAGGAAACTAGCTGGGGAACACTGACCTATGCCTATGCGAGAGTCCGGTTGCAGGAACTAAAGCAGCCACAGCATTATGTGGTCTTTGAGTAATGTGAAAAATCCTTGGCTGCCTACAAGGAAATGCCTTTAAAAGCACTCCTTTCTCAGAATTGCCATTTTCTCTACCGTGTCCACCAGACACAGTTGCATTTTGTTGATTTCTGGCAGTCAGAGTAATGTTTATTCCGTGAGCACTTTTCCAGCCTTCTAAACAAAGCCATCCCTAATTATATACTGTATCAAAACTATCCAAAGGTAGTATTAACAGTCATAAATTTCTATCTTCGGGCTTTTAATTCCTGTAAAGTTGTAAGATAACAGTAATAGTGAGATCTCCAGTGTTATTGTTCACATTCCCTGAGATGACCTGGCACAGTGTTTTAAATTAATTAATTCGGCAACCAATAAAATAGTGTCTAAATCGTGCGTATTTCTAGCTTAAAATGTCTTGGTTTCCACTGCAAACAGGTGCTTGATGTTAACCTACCAAACTCACGTGATAACAGTTTGGGATAAAATGAACTAGTTGGTTTTGGCCATTTCAGTGACTTGAGCATGTCCTCAAACCTTACATAATTTTATGGTACATGAATGAATGCCGTTGTATTTTCAGTGATTTACTAGTTATGCATTTAAATTACCACCTGTTTATTATACTTAGATGTCATTTACTTAAAGTGAAAGAAAATTACCATTTCTGTGTCTTTCTCTACTTGATTTCACGTTGAGAATTTGAAACTTGGAATTATTTCCACATCTGTATAGATACATTTATTTTGTAGAGAAAATGGTAATTTGCGGTTTTGCCCTTGTCAGTTTTTTTTTAAGGTGACATTATTCAGGTCAGTATAAATATTATAGAAGAGGGGGCCCTCTGCTTGATCTTAATTGACTTGCGGTTTCGTAAATAAACAGATTGCTTTTGACAAGAAGATTTTTTTTTTTTGTCTTAGTTTCCTGAATGGTAAATCACAGAAAGTTCAAGTTAATTTGGGTTAATTGTCTTAACAGAATGTAGCTTTTCAATTTTGCTGTTGAGTCAAGTGCACCTTTTAATACTTTAAATGTATTCAATATTATGTGTCTGGCCCTTATAAAGATGTTTGCTGAACTCCTGTGAAGAGACCCTGCCCACGGATGTTGCTGTACTGGTGTGTGACACTCGCAGTCAGCCTCCAGTGTGGCGCTCACTCCAGTATCCCCGAGCAGTACATCTTGTGCAATGGCTTTATCTCAAGAATATTTCTTTGTGAATGCACTTTGAGGCCTTTTTTGGGGGGCTGAGAGTAGGAGAGAATTCCATGTTAAGATTTTTTTTTTTTAATGTCAGTCATGTATTAGGCAGAAACTACTCATAACATTTTTCTGGGTTTTTGAGGTAATTGTTTTGGAAATCTTTTATGTAATAAATGTTTTAAGTATCCTGTGTACCCCGTAGTATTCCTGACATTTTAGAAAATCGTCATTACATCGTCGTAAGCTTTTTCTGCTGTCACCAATGAAAGATAGTGCCCTTTTAAATTTCCCACCTAACCTTCCTTGTAATCAGTCAGCAGTAACGGGGTATTTTCGAGGTGCTCAATTGGAATTAAACATATTCCAGTCTATTTGGATACCAAAGGCAAATCTGTTTAATTACCTTTGGAGTTATTAATACCTTTGTGGTAAATTTGAGCTTTGACATTTATTGTGAGGAACAAACCAAAACAACAAAAAAGAAAAAACCCTGAGGCTTCTAACCTAACCCTGTAGAGAATGTGTAAATCGGCCATCGCGTTTGCCTTCTCAGGTGCCATTGACCCTGCCCGGCGCTGCGCCCCTTGCCTTGTGCAGCTCGGTGGACGTAGTCGTGTTGAATGTAGAGCAGAGACGCCTTCGTCTTGCCGATCTCAGTACCCACAGATGATGGAGAACGATTTGAAAACCAGCAGCTAAGGAACATCTTATTTAGTTGTAGCAAATTCATAGCAAGTGTCCTTCAAGGATGAACATGTATTCTACTTCTGTTTATATTTAGCAAGGAGAATTTTTGTTAACCATTAGTGCATTATATTCAGCTTTTAAAAGTATTATGTATGTACTAGAAAGAAAAGAAATCTTTAGTCTTAGACTTTGTACAACTGGAAAGGAGCAATGAAGTTTATTTTTAAATTTTCTTTTCTAAATAAAACCTAGTCTAGTTTACTTAATATATGACAGAGATGACTCAAACAAGAAAAACTATGTAAAAGTTGTTTATAAAGTCTGTCTCCGAAATATTTCTTTGAAGGTTTTTAAAACTTGACTCAAATGTTCAAGAAAAATGTATACTCAAAGCAATGGACTTCTTTATTTTTAACTGTGTTTTATTTTCATGTTTTCTACCAGATAGCTTTTTATTTTTCTGAAAAAAAAATTGTTAACAGTCTTCAGATTGGCATGACCTTTTATTAGAGAATCTTCTCAGAAAATGGAGTTGAACTTACGTATGTGTAAGCAGTAGAAACTGAAAAGGCACACTGTCCGATCAGCAGAGAGAAGTCTGCCACCCGTGACTCATGAAGTGGTTTCCTAAAGCTCAGAGTCCAGACCTGAGAATTGCCAGCCCTGTGATTGTGCGATACCATACAGTGCTTTTCATTCCAGGGGAGTCAGAACAACTCGCCAGAGCTGTCGTGCCTCTCGTGCAGCTTCGTCGAACCCGTCTCCCTGGACGGAGCACACGCGTAACTGGCTGGTCACTTTGAAACCGCGTTAGAGGGTTGCAGGTTGTTCAGGCCAGCCATGAGGCCCTGGAGTAGCATCACTGTACTAGGACCAGCACCGTGTGGGTGGCTAAAAGTAATGAGCGTTTACTCTCTTCATTTGAGCATTTCTAGATTTGTTTTCAATCATTAAAAATCTCGATTTGAATCTGAAGGATTTAAGTGCTAGAATAATCCGTCTATTCCTTATTCCAGAATTTTTCATGCCTGGCTTTTGTTGTTTACATGCTCTTCTGCCCAGACTGTTAATACTGGAGGGACCCCTTTGGGGCTGATGGCACCGCTCAGCCTTTGTTTCCTCTAATACTGATCATGACTTTAACATTCCTAAGAATAGTTATTTCCAAACGGCTTAACTTGGAAGGGATTTTAATATAAATAAGAGTATTAACTTTCTACCCATTTGGATCTCTTTTCTCCATCGTACCCTTGTATTTCCCATTACCTGTACATTGATTTTTATGCTACTCCTTTTAGAAATGGGAAGTTTTAGTTTCACTCAGTTTTTGTGTTAATAAACTATTTGAATGTGTACCCTGTGTATGTGAAACAAATTATGACCTATCAGTCATAGCTGTATGGTCAACTTTCAAAGAATTAACTTTTGACCATTCATGTAAGGTTTGCTATTGCATTTATGTACATGGCTATAAATTATGTGCATTTACTCTGTATTTATGTTAACTAGCTGACTTTTACTTGAATTGTTAAGATTCAGAAAATTAAAATATGCTTATAAAAATGCATTGATTTTTTTTCTATAATGTATCAATATTTTGGTGTAGTTTTGTCCTGTGCACAGAACAAAACTGCATTGCATTTTTTTTTTAGGGGAGGAGGTTTTTGCTATAAGGGCGCATGCGCTCACCAGAGAGAGAGCGAGCGAGACATCATCCCCCAAGGGTGATGGCCACACTACAATCCCTTCTCCCGCAATCTTCAGCACACATGCACACGCGCCCAACATGAGTTTAAGCCACCAAGTGTGGGACTCAAACCAAGGTTGACTACATTGGAGTCCAGCGACATAGCCATTACACCAATTGCTGGTCCTGTGCTTTGCCTTTTTTAACTGCCACTTGGGAATCTCAGCTTTCCAGTTCCCAGTATGATTGATCTTGGTGTAAATTTAACTGAGGTATCTTAGCAGCCCAGACTGCTTGCTCTGTAATTCCTAAATTGTATACTCATTTTCAATTTTTTTTGTGTGTGTACCTTTTTTCTAAAGCCGTACCAAAGCACCTGGACATAAATGAATTAAGTAAACTTAAGATGAAAGGAAGTAGGGAAGGAGAAAAATGGAGTTAGAGGATTCCATAAAACGTTCTCTCCAGGAAGAAGATAGCCTAAGTAGCCTAAGTTTCTGTTTTGTTGGGTGTACATAGTATAGTGAATATAGGGGGTAACCATAAAAGAATAGAAATGGACATTAATAACCTCCATACTTCTTTTTTTTTTTTTTTTGGAGAGGATTTTTGTTATAGGGCACATGCGCTCGCCAGAAAGACAGAAAGCCAGAAATCACCCCTCAGAGGGATGGTCATGCCGCAATCCCTTCTCCATTCTCCCCTCAGGATCTTGGGCACGCATGCACATGGTGGTGAGTTTAAGCCACCGGGTCCGGGACTCAAACCATAATCAACTACATGAAATTCTAGCGACAGCCATTAAGCCTGCTGCTGGTCCTATAACTCCATATTTACAGAGGGGGAAACAAAAGTTGAAAAGACCTAAGGGTCACCTCATTCATAGTGTTTAAGGGAGTCAGATCCCACAGAGCTGACTTTATGGTTCAAATACTGGACCCAGCAACCTGAAGACACACTGGACACATGCATGTCCAAAATCCCAACGGGGGACCAGCAGTTGGCATAATGGCTATGTCGCTGGACTCCCATAGAGCCAACCATAGTTCGAGTCCTGGACCTGGTGGCTTGAACTCGGGCTGGGTGCAGGCGTGTGCATGTCCAAGATCCTGAGAGGAGAATTGAGAAGGGATTGCAGTGTGGCCATCCCCCCCGGGGGGGGGGTGATTTCTCACATTCTATCTCCTAGTGAGCGCACAAGCCCTATGGCAAAAAACTCAAAAATCCCAGCAGGATGGAGAAGAGATTTTTGATGTGACCATTTCCCCTTGGGGGTGGGGAGAGGATGCTTTCTCGTTCTTTGTCACTCGTGAGAGCATGTTCCCTGTGGCAGGTTTTTAAAACAAAGGTAAAATCATAAAGTACAGTTCTCAATCCAAGTTTATCAGTAGTAGAACATTCAGTGACGAAATGGAGGACATTTTCCCCTGTGAAGTTTTCTTTTTCTTTTCTAATAGGTTTTTTTCCGTAGGGCACATGCACTTGCCAGAGAGAAACAGAGGCAGTGAGGGGGGAAATGAGAAATCACCCTCTAGGGGATGGCCACCCGAAATCCCTTCGCTTTCCTGGGATCTTGGGTACACCTGCACACATGCCTGGCATGATATTCAAGCCGCTGAGTCTGGGGCTTGAACTGAAGTGAGCCATGCTGGAGTCCTGAACGCAACCACTAATACTATCTGTTGGCCCAGTCAGACTGGATTCCTCCCACACACTTGGAGAGGTTTTTGCTATAGGGCGTATGTGCTTCTGGAGACAAAGTGAGAAATCAGTCCCCCACCCACGGTGGATGGCCACACCACAATCCCGTTTCCAGTCTCCAGGGATTTGGGGTACAGATGCACACGCACGCAGCATGAGTTTCAAGCTGCCAGGTCCGGGACTCAAACCGCCATTGGCCGTAGAGTTTACTAACTGCTAGACCACCTGCTGGCCCCTAGATTGGATTTCAGAACTACAGCAAATAAGCTGTTTCTGAGAGATGACTAAAACTTAAGGGTGTGTTGAAAGTAAAAGGATGGGAAAGATGACATGGAGATAACCCAAAGGGAAACAGGTACAACTGTACTCCTACCAGATACCAGCCCGAACGGAAGAAAGCGCTCTGGGAATTCAAGATTATGTCATAGTCACGAAAGGTTTGTTTCACCAGGTACAATAATTAAAATGTGTTATGTATCTATAAAAGCTTTTCAATATATCCAGCCAAAATTAAAATTGTAAAGAGCCACAGGACTGACTCCATAGTCCAGTGGTTAAGGCAGCTGGATCCTACATGGCCAGTCCTATGGTTCGAGTCCTGAAAGAGATCCACGATAAAGGAAGATTTTAACATCTCAGAAATTGGTAGGACTAGTAGACAAAAGCAGTAAGGATATGGATTTCTAAAACACAGTAAACCATAATTCATTGGAAACGCGTAGAGTGCTGTATTTAACATGTATAGAATATGAATTCTTTTCCCAAACGTACACAGAATATTTACAAAAACTGACCCAAGCAGCCAACAAGTGTCAGAGTACTAATGCCATACAGAGAATGTGCAGTGTCCACAGTGCAATGAAGCTGGAAATCAGGAAGGTCCTTGAAGAATTTCATGTTTTAGGGAATTAAACGCTTCTAAACGACCTGTAGGTCAGGTAAGTCAAATGAGACATATTTTTAACTGAATGATGAATAAAATTCTACATGTCAAAACCAGTAAGAGGCTTGTTGTAGGGCTCTCCCCAGTAGTATCAGGGATCTGCTCGCACAGCTATGGAGCTGACCAGACCAGAGAACCCACAGAGTGAGTCAGCGAGCTGGAGGCCCGGACAGCCAGCTGTGGTTCCGTCCCGCGGTGGGCTCCAGCCCCAGGAAGAGCCAGTCTTTCCATTGAGTCTGAAGCGGCCGCCCCAGTTTGCACGCAGGCAGGGAGAGCTTCTTCCTACGCGGCCTCTTACGTTAAGCCCTTCAGCTAGATTGTCGGGAACGTCATGACGTATTTTTCTGTTTCTCTGTGTCATGACGTTCCTGACAACCCAGTCATGGGATGAGGACCATGTGAGGAGGGATGCTGATGAGAATATTAACCTAAAAACACCCTCACACACATCCAGAAATATCTGAACACCTCACAGCCCAGTCAAGTTGAGAGAGAACCGTCACACAAGTTAAGCAGCCCTTAGAAAAAGATCTGAACAGACAATTTGAGTTTTTCCTATTAGAAAAAAATGTTGAAAATGAGTGAAGTGGACATCTATTCAATAGCTTGGGCTGGCTAGCACGCAGGGGTTTAGAGACCCGGATGCACAGTGGCTGGACCTAGTGGACGTCCCGTTCATTGAGCCTTAGCAGGACAAGTGCTGCTGCTGCACTCCGGGAGCTCAGCTGATGGAGGCCGGCTAGTCTCAACACGTGCCCTCCAAGGTCATGCTGGGGCTGTGCTTCTTGTGGGTTCCAGTCTCCCAGACAGCCTATTAAAAACACTGGTACTGGGACCAGCAGTTGGCATAACGGCTATGTCGCTGGACTCCCACATAGTCAACCACGGTTCAAGTCCTGGACCCAGCGGCTTGAACTCACACCAGGCGCATGTGCGTGTGTGCCCAAGATCCCAAGAGGAGAATAGAGGAGAAGGGATTACGGCATGGCCATCCCCCCTGGGGGGTTGATTTCTCCCTTTCTGTCTCTGTCTTTCTGGTGAGCGCATGCCAAAAACCTCTCCAAAAAAAGAAAAAAAAAATTTCAAAATGGGGCCAGCAGATGGCATAGCAGTTACATTGCTAGACTCTCACATGGCTGACTGTGGTTCAAGTCCCAGACCTAGTGGCTTGAAAAATCACACTGAATATGTGTATGTGTGTGACCATGATCCAGGGAGGATGGAAGAGAAGGGATTGCAACATGGCCATCTCCCCCAGGGGATGATTTTTCTCTTTCTCTCTGTCTCTCCGACAAGCACACATGCCATATAGCAAATAAACCTCTCCCCCATCCCCCCCTCAAAAAAAGTATGATTTGAGTCAACTAGAACAATGGAATAGAAGACAGAACTGGGCAGCGACACACCCTGTACAGACGATGCAGGAACGCAGGGACACAGGAGTGATCAGGCCCACTCTTACAGTGAGACACAGTTTCTCGTCCCACACTCAGGACACAGAGAAGAGGGACAGCAAAGCAGAGAGTTTATTAAAGGAGAGGAAAGGAAACACAGAGCTCCCAAGAAGGGAGGGGTCCTAGAAAGTGGGTTGCCCAGGAAGAACTCTGGCAAGGGGGTTTTATCTGAGTCAGGAAGGGATTTATCTGGACTTGTTCTAGGTGGGGCTCATGCATTCATTGCCCTCCTGGTGGGGAGGACCGCATGCTGGATGGTCCTATTATTTTCCTCATTTTGAAGTGGCTACTAAGGTCAGGAGAGTCTTTGTCTAGAAGCTGTGGGCCATGAAAACCATTATCTTATCTTCTTCCTGGAATGTGGTGGGGCCTGGTACGAGCCTTTGTTTTAGGTCTAGGTCATGCTGCCCAGGTCAGTCACTGAGCCACCACCGCCTCTATCTCAAAACTTGGTCATTTTGTGATTCCAAAATGGCCTATTTGCTAACTATGGTTTTAGGGTCCCTGTCTCCTACCTCACAGAGACTTTGTTGCAACAGAGATAGCATTACAATTCAGGGAGAACTGGGTGGACCATCCAACAACATGATCAGGAGAGACCCTGAATTCATGAATAACTCAGGGCTGACAACTGCCTGAGGTTTCTGCCCTCCCCAGAGCTACAGGGTAACCTGAAACCTTGAATAGGTTAGACTTCCTGCTTCTCTGCCACTTCCATTTTAGGGCAGGTTCTGGACCCCTTCCTTATCCATAACATCTCGAGATCTCCCCTCCACAA